TCGTCTCTCTCCAGGCCTGCATGCCAGGAATTCAGCACTGTGTGGATGTGTTTACAGTTCTCTATCTCAAAGGAACTCTCTGCGTCTACAAAGAAGATAAATCCTATACATCTGCAAACAATCTAAGACGAAGGAAGCTATTCCCAAGCTCTGCAAGTCAACTGGATTTAGTTCATCATTGCACTCAGTTGGATATGTTTACCGAGGACATTCTGAGACTCATGCTGGAATGCCAGCCGTGGTTCACTGGGGTCAGGAAGAATCGGGTTCTTTTTGCTTCCAGCTCTGCAGCATAAGAAACAGCATCCTGCCTTCGCAATGGCCGTGTAATAGAGACCTCTGCCTAAGGAAAGATCTTGCACACGGATACTGCCTCACATTTCATCTTTTGCAATATGACTTCAGTTTGGTGGGGGAACGTGCTGGCAAGTCACAGATGACTTATGGTGACCCTGGAGGGTTTTCAAGGCAAGAGACATTCAGAGGTGTGTTGCCACTGCCTGCCTCGGCATCTCAACCCTACTGTTCCTTGGAGGTCTCTCGTCCAAATACTGACCCTGCTTAGCTTCCGAGATCTAATGAGATAATGCTAGCCTGGGTGTCACTCCGTTTAAGATTGCCTTATTATCATGGTTTTTAGTTGACTGCTTTATGCATTTCTCTGCAGTTTTTAATGCAGTTCTTTTAGGATTGACTGATTTGATCTCCTTGCAGTCCAGGGGACTCTCAAGAGTCTTCTCCAGCACCATAGTTCAAAAAAATCTATTCTTCGGCGCTCAGCCTTCCTACTACGATTCTTTAACTCGACCAGCTATCTGTCCTTCAGAACACCATGCCCTGCTGCTGCACCTCTGTATCATGCCCAAAATTTCATGTGGAAAACATGGGGGCGGGGAAAATGACGCAACATGCAAATCTAGACAAATTTGACTAAGGTACATGATGTAGTTGGTTTACCTTAATGCTGAACTCCTTGCAGCAGAATGAATGTGTGTGTGGGGTGGGTGTATACACACACACACACTCATTACTTCCTTTGTACAACAAAAGCAGAATGAAAGGTGTGGGGGTTGTGTGTGTATAGATGTACGTATATACACATATATACATACACACAAAAAAAACACCTGTCATTCTGCTTCTGCTGTGCAAAGAAACTAAATTCTGAATTTACCGTGTTAGGCAGAGCAAACACATTCAGATTTTTCCCCCACATTTTTTTAAAAAAAGATGGTTGCTTTATTTCCAGTGTAAAATTCTGTACTTTTCTTTCCCTCTGCAACCACAAAGGAAGCTTTCTGAAAGCACTTCAATATTATTGGGGACAGGGCTATTTTTGGGCAGGAACGCACAGGAACGGAGTTCCAGCTGGCTCCTCAGTTGGCCACACCCAGCAGGAACTCATTAGCATAATAGGCCACACCTAACAGCAGACACTCATTAGGATTGGCTACATTAGGGGTGTGTGGCCTAACATGCAAAGGAGTTCCTGCTACAAAAAAAGCCCTGGGTTTTGACAACAAAGTAAACAGAATAAGAAGCAAAAGGAGGGTGTGGTTGGATGACCACACTTCTGGTAACACGTGGGGGTGTGGCCTAATATGCTAATGAGTGGTGCTGTCAGGGGTGTGGCCTAATATGCTAATGTGTTTCTGCTGTTCAGTGTGGCCTATTATGCTAATGAGTTCCTGCTGGGCTTTTTCTACAAAAAAACCCCTGATTGGGGATAACATTTCTAAGATCTGTGAGGTTGAAAATGACATTCATCTCATGCTGTCCGTTCTCAGCTGGCATTCCTCCCAAACATTGTACTACAAATATTCCCACCATTAGCCTGAAAAGTCATGTAGAAGAGAGACAGCAAAAATGCACATCGTGTGCGCAATGAAAATACACACTTGAAAAGATCCCCCACTGTTATTTACATGCCTTTTGTGTAAACTAGGCACCAGGCCAAGTTTCAGCTTCAAGAAGCTAAATAAAACGGGGATGAGCTCTGCGTGTTTTATTAAGGTTTGCTCTTACGACCATCCCTGGCATTTGCCATTGTGTAGTGCAGCAACTGTTTGCAGGAAGAAAAACAATACAAAAAGAACTCTTGCCTCTCAGCAGCCTGGCAAAGAACCAGCTGCCAACACTGCTTGTTTTTAGAATGGCTTTCTAACTGCAAGTAGCTGTGTGTTTTATTAGCCTCACCAACTGGAAAAGACCGCTGCTTCTCTCAAGCTGGGGCTGGCACCTAGAAACCAATGGACTTCCAAGGTAGATGTGCTGCCATTTATAAGCACAAGCGTATCCTGTCACCTTTTTCTCATCTGTGAGGTCGAGAGATTCAAGCTGCTTCCCTTGGTCCGCAGCATAAATTTCCAACAGGTTGTCGAAGTTGGTGGTGAGCACGAGGGCACCGTTCTCCATCAAATGGAGCACAGACTGGAGAAGCTGTTTCCCGGTGTCTTCCATTTTGGACTCCAGGTCGTCAAAGACCTCATACAAGCAGTCTTTGAAGAATGTGGAACGGACATTGCTTGTGCGCTGCCAAGAAAAGATCATGCCAAGATCACAGTAAAGTTTTATTAGTTTTTTTTCAGTAAATAAAGTACTTTAATTTCAACAGCAGGGGGTAGAGATTTGTTTGCCAAGAGCTAGCAAACAGACAGAAGGACTTAAGACTGAAAAGCCTGCATATACTTATCTAAGAAAGTGCTTCATTGAGCACATTCAACTTTAATGAAGTACATAGATACCTGAGGCTCAGTTCAGACATAAAGTGAACCTATGATTTATTTTAATTACAGTTAGTTTGTGAAACAAGAATTTGGCTCCCAAACATTCAAATCCTGGCTGGGTTAACTTTTTCCCCTCTGACATTTGCAAACCATGCAGTTCTGCATGCAGTCAACTCACCGGCGACAATTTCTGAATAAGGTCATGGGCAACATGGATGAGGTTCTTATCTTCTCGGAGACATTTCTGAAATTTTTTCCGTTCCTCGTCTTCAAGGAGGTCAAAGTCAATAGCAGCATCCAGCAAGGCCTGGATTAGGCCTTTCCATGATTTCAGGGCCGGCACTTGAGGCGCGACAGCTGCACTTATGCCAGTCCCAATCACCAGCACGAGCTCCTGGGGCCGCTTGGTTTTTAGACTAGGCAACAACTTCCTGCAGCCAAAGAGAGGGAGTGCCTGTTGAATTATGTCAACACTGCTGCATTTTGAGGAAATGATAGCTAAGAGGCTTTTATGCATATAAGCAGACATATTCTTAACTTTTTAAGAAAAATATTTACAAAAGAACTGGCCTGCGGGATCAGACCAATGTTCCACCTAGTCAAGCATCTAGTCTACCACACAGTGCCAAACCAACTGAACCTGGAGGGCCAAAAAAACTGGGCATAGAGGCCAAGGCCTTTCCCTGATTATGCTTCCTAGCACTAATCTTTAAAGCTTAACTGCGTCTGAATATGGAAATTCCCTTCAGTCACCATGGCTATTAGCCACAAAGGGATCCATCCTTCATGAATCTGTCTACTTCCTTTTTAAACCCATATATCCTAGTGGCCCTCCTCTAGGTCATTTGACAGTGAATTCCATGTTTGATCTTTCAGTGAAGCACTTCCATTTATTTATTTTGAATCCATCACCCATCAACTTCATTGGGTGCCGCTAGGTTCTAAAGCGATTTACAAGATTACCACAAAAGAAAAAAAATGTCTGAAACAATAAAACAGATAAAAAGGCCATGGAGCGATTTTGGAACACTCTCTCTAGAGAAGTTTGGCAGGCAATGACCTTCTTTTGTGTGCCAAAGTAATGACTTCTGCTGCTATGTGGCAGTATGAAAGTCAAACAGAAGTAAAAACAAAACTTCAAGAAAAACTGCCACGTAACAGCAGAAGTTATTACTTTGGCACACAAAAGGAGGTCAGTGTGTGCAAAGGTTATCTAGAGAGGGTGTTCCAAAACCGGGTTTGCCACCAGTAACAAAGGGATGTGAAGGTCCAGAAACAAATAAAAAAAATAAGGGAGAGTGACTTTTCTCTGAGCCCCCCCCCTTTTCCAGTGGAAAAACTGAGGATTTGAGGGGAGTTCTAAAAAAACCCAAACTTCGTATGAAGTATTTAACTTTTAGAATAAGTGCAACAATTCTTAAGGCAGAGTTTTTCCACACTCAAAACATATAGCATGAACAAGCCTGAAGACTTTTTCAATTTTTCCAATGGAAGAATTGGGAAATTTCAGGGAGCCCTGAAAAAACTTTCTATGAAATATTTTCCCTTTTTGAGTAAGAAAACACATTTTAGAAAGTGTTTCACTCATTCCAAATGTACAGCATGGCTTAGAGCCATTTAAACCCCTGCTTTTTGCTCCCAGCAAAAAACAGCTGAGCAGAAAGCAGGGGTGGCTTAAGCCCCATCTTTCTGTTCTTCACAAGCCACCACGAATTGCCTTAACATTCATGGAAATTCATGGCAGCTCTTCAGTTTGCGAACTTTGCCCAGAGCCATTTAACCCCCTGCTTTCTGCTCCCTGTAAAAAGCACCAGGGAGCAGAAAGCAGGGGACACGAACCGCCACGAACCAGTTTGGTTCACGAACCAACCTCCTGGTTCATATTGGTTTGTGGTTCGGTTCATGGTTCGGCCACAAACCACAAACTGAACCTCAAAAATGCGGTTTGTGCCCATTCCTATATGGAACTGTTCGTGGCACTGCCACCCTGCCCCAAGAACTGGAATACTACTGAATTACTATTAACCCCAAGTACTGTACTTGGATGATATTTTATAGTACAGGTTCAAAATATATCAAGCCATCCATTTTATGAGAGCAGTTTCATATCCTACCACAGAGAACGTCTGATAGTAGTTTACAAAACAATAACTGAAGGTAAAAGATTAAAATTACTTCTTGAAATAACCTATATGGTCATGTAAAATGCTGACATTTTTTCCCAATGCACTACATTGTGATGCTTACCTGGGCTTTTTTGTGGGGGGAATCCCATCTTTCAACAAGGCTTCTTTATCCAGAGTCAGACTCACATTAGAAGCCATCCAGTTTCTGGAAGGCAAACAGAAGAAACACAAGCTAAGGGGGAGCAAACTTAGAGGAACTAAGAAACAACTTAGACAAACAAGAAAAACTAATCAAGAAACAGCACTGATGTCTATAATCTCTTGTCCCTTCACTGTTATCCAAAGAATATGCTGTCCATAGTGAGTCCCAGATCTTAGTCTTAACTAAGACAGCATTTTAAGGGTAACCAAAGAGAGTTATCTTGCGGAAATGTGTGTTGCAATTCACAGTGAACTGTCCCTTGAAACTGAAAGGTGGTCTTGTGGCACAGCTGAAAAGGCAGCTGTGACTCACAGGCTAGTACTGACAAATCACAGGTCACAGTTTTACTGTGTTTTGCATGTTTTAAGTTAAGCTGCCTTAAGCCATGGAGAAAAGTGAGGTAAAACTACTTTAATTAATCAATAAAAGATCTCAGCTGTTTATTCATTTATATATCTCCCCTTTCTCTTGACAGTCAGTCCCAAAGACAGGTAACAACAACGCATGCAAAAATAAGATGGAGCCCATATGTATAATTTTCCAGCTCCTCCTTAAGCTCTGTTTTACAGTCTCACTGGAAGGCCCCAAGGGCTGGCACCTGCCTCACCCCACCCCACTCAATCCCTTCCCCTGAGCTGCACACATGACTCTTCTCCCTTCTGCCCTAGGCTGGGTTGAGAGAGAGCACAGCTGACTAGGAATGGGCATGAACCTGCCCACGACCCTAAGTTCGGCACCACCATCACCCAGGTCATAGTTAGTGAACCAAGGTCAGTGTGAGCTCGCCTCCATGACCTTCCATGGGTTTTTGGGGAGGTTCATGCAGCTTGTGGTAGGAAAGGGTGTGTGTGAAAGGGATAGCTGAAACAGCTTGCATCTATTTCAGCCCTAACAGTGGGGCTGGTGTGCCCATCAGTTATTAGGCTGAAACAGATGCAAGCCCCCGCTTCCAAGAGTGGGGGGGAGTGAAATGGACAGGTTTAATGGCTCACATTTAACCCCCCCATTCTCTCAGTTGTGGCTGACTGCGGCCAGGAGAACCAATTGGTTCGGTTCAGGCATTATTATTATTTTTTGCCTGGTTCGGTTCAAGCACACCCCAAAGCCCTGAAGTAGAATTTTCTGGTTCATGCCCATCCCTGTAAGTGACCCAAAGTTTCATGGTAAGCAGGGATTTGAACTTAAGTCTTGCTAGGTCTAGTCCAGCATTCTCACTAGTGCAGCACAGCAAAAAACAAACAAACATACTAGTAGGTTACAATCCCGAATATACAACCATGCTTTTGAAGGGGGGGGGGGTGCATTATCCATGGTTAACCTATACCTAGTAAAACCATGCTGGAGGTAGTTTCTCCTCCACTTCTCTGCTTGCAAAGGTACCTCTCTAAATCATGCTTTCTTTGTATGTTTGGGAATCTAACCATGATTAAGACAACAAACCATAATCAGCTCTAATGATTGCCAAGGATTTCGTTATCTACTAGGCCTCAGGACCTTTGCCAGACAATCCAGCCTCATGTAGACAAAATGATTTCAGAACATTTCTGCATTATTTCATGACATCCCCATGTCATGGTGTTTGCTGCATAGTCCAAATTCACCCACCTGGGCAAGTCTAAAACACTTAACAGGTAAGTCTCTTGATCCTGCCAAAGCCTCTTTTAGATCAGTTCAGCTTCTAGTTCAGTTCTTCAACTCAGATACAGTGCTGAGGGGTTCAGGTAGAGTACTGGATTTGGACTGGTTTCAAATCCCTGTTCAAATGGATGGTCTTCAGCAATGCTCCCTCTAAACTGTGGAGTCTTGTGAGCAAAAAATGTACTTTGTGTGAGCTACTGGCATGAAAGTTGTGAGTGAGCAATTTGGCTACTGCATAAATTAGTTTGGTCTGGAGCCATCCCTTCCTGAGCTAAGACAAAACTGTGTGAGCCGGAGGCTACAAAACTGTGAGCTTGCTCACACTAGCTCAGCTTAGAGGGAACACTGGTCTTTAGCAAATAATTCTCTCTCTCTTTCTCAACTCAACCTCCTCAGTGTTGTTGTGAGGATGAAATGGGAGAAACCTACATCTGTCACTCTGAACTCCTTGGAGGAAGGATGCAACATTTAAATACATAGGTTATAAATAAATAGGTAATTATACTACAGTAAAATTACTGTTAATCCATACTTGCATAACTCAGTTTGAATTAATATATACCCAGAAATTTGTTATATTACTGTTTTGAATTTGTAGACTTTACAGAACTTTGTATTGTAACTTTTTAAGATCTCAATAACGCTATTAAAATTTAAAAAATATATCTCTGACTAAATGCATCACTAATATGGCTCTGCTGACATTTGGTCATCTAAGGAAACACTGGAGGACAAGGAAGACTGGATACACTGAACATAAACATGCAGTGGTACAATACATGTCCCTACACACTTACAGGAATTGTACAATGAGCTTTTAATCAGGTACCATGATGTAGTGACTGGTCACCTGAATCCACTCCTTTGTAAGTTAGTAATGCCTATTTGGAGGAGACCAAAACCCACACAGAGCTTTGCATGGTGAAAATTTCAGACTACCGCTGTCTATTTTCACTTTGCAGATAGGCACGTGCAAGATCAAATTCTCAAGTCTGCATGCATTTTCAAATGCGAGTAAAGACATGACATTTCCAAGATGGTCATCTGAAAACATTTTACTTGCTTCCCGAAGCTCGAAGCTTCCTCTCCTTTCACTGAAGCTTTTGCTTCTTTACAAGTCATACCATGCATATTTTCTACACATGCCTTTACCTTTCTATGAGGAGATGCAGTCCTCACAGGCAGATGAAACTGGTGTTAAACTGGATCGGGGAGAAAACATTAAGAGTTTAGATGTGACGGCAACTTGAAAACTCTGCTAAGCATTTATGTGTAAACAACGGAGCAAAGTGCTGAAGTAGTAATTTTTTCCTGGGGCGAAAAACCCTACCTCCTTCAAAAGAAAACACACAATTCTATTCGACAATACAATTCTCAGTTTAAAAGGAAGCACTGCTGCAAAATACAGGTTTTCATCCAATCCCCTGCCCTTGAGAAAGCTTGACAAAGCTGGCAATGAAAGTTCTCTCTATTTTTAAATGTAGTTTTGCAATGCTGAGATAGTTGGGCACATAATAATAATAACAGTGGTTATTATTTACTGCTACAACTACTGACAAGTATTTTGCTAGAGAATAATAATGCTGACTGCTAGTTCTACCCTGCAGGTTAGCAGGTAAAGCAACACAAGAGGAAGTTCACAGGATAGTAAGGCTGTAACATTTATCTGATTAATCTATTTTACTCATCTTAACAGCTAACAAGGTGCAAACTTTCTTTTAAAATAGAGTTTATTATCTTGTAATGCTGATACAAATAGAAATGGCAGGTGGCAAGCCCCGTCTGAGAAGAAGCATGTCATACTCTCTCACTTTTGGGAAGGAACATCTTTTTCGAGATGGTGCATCCTGAAAACACACACAGCCACAGGCATAATCTAAAGGACCTTTTTTGTTGCTCCAAATTATTTTTTTCATATGCAGTTTTGATAAATTGTGTATGGTAAATCAACTAAAGTTCCTTTGAACTAAAAATGAGGATGACATCTTTCAGCCCAAGTGCCAGAACTCCGTAACGCGTGCCTGTGAAGATATTGGCGTGTCTGCTAACAAAAGAGAAGGGAGGCTTGGGCCAGACACCCTGGGAACAGGCTGTGCCCCAGTAGCAGTGCCAGTGCCTCAGGGTTTTGCCTTCTTTCATTTGACTTATGGGGCCAAGCAAAACAATCTGTTGTGCTCCTGTTTGTCATGTGTGGTGGCGCTATTCCTGCTCTACAGGATGGAAATTGCACAGTGGTGACCTGAACCAGGCTGAAAGTTCCTTTATATCCTGACTCTCTTCCTGCATGGAGCTCAAGGTGGCATAAATAGAGTTCAAGGGAGAAGTCTTATCCAGGCACTGACCAGACTTTGGCAAGATTTCTGCAACACAAGCATCCACAGGGCCCAACCCTTAAATTAGGTCTGTATTATTGTTCCCAAATTACAGTTGGCAGAGGTTGGTCCAAGACTGAGAGAGCCGCTTTCCTAAGCCACTCGGTGACCAAGATTTGAACCAGAGACTTCCAACTCACATTCTGTCTGAATCACCAGCAACGCCATCCTTAATTGAGTTAAAGGTAAAGGTTCCCTTGCTCGAAAGCCAGTTGAATCCGACTCTGGGGTTGCGGTGCTCATCTCCGTTTCAAAGCCGAAGAGCCAGCGCTGTCCGAAGATGTTTCCGTGGTCATGTGGCCGGCATGACTAAACACCAAGGTGCACGGAACGCTGTTACCTTCCCACCGAAGAGGTACCTATTTATCTACTTGCAATTTCATGCTTTCGAACTGCTAGGTTGGCAGGAACTAGAGACGGGAGCTCACCCCGTCTTGCGGCACCCGGGTCTTGAACTGCTGAACTACCGACCTTCCACAGCCTGCAGTTCAGCGTCTTAACCACTTGAGCCACCGCAGCTCCTCTTAACTGAGTTACCCCCTCCTAAATCCATTGACTTAGAAGGTTATAATTCTACTTTGAATGGCACTGCAAGTGACACCATCATGTTTTATGGTTTCTTGGAGGGAAGACAAGGGCCATTGCTAAAAGATACCTCAGAGCACTGGGAGAGAGAAGGAGGAAGCAGTTATTGTCTCACTAACCAGAACTATTTCATTCCACAGGGTGGGGGGAAGAGAAAATACCACGAGCTGACTAATACTTTCCTTTTCCAGAAAGCCTCTGCATCAGGACAGAAAACCAAACATCCTAATCAGCGACAAAAAAACATAAGAAGGGATTTATGCAAATAATACTTCTGAAGCAGGAAGATCTCCCTTTGAGTAGAACAACAAAGCTCCTTCCTTACAAGACACAAGGAAGTGGGGTGAGGGGAATGACTAAGAGTGTTTTTAATATGAAGAGAAAATGTTTTCTGTGGTGGAACAGGGGGTAGGAACAAGAAGTGAGAGCTCCAGAGGAGACTCTTGCCCCAGGGATTCTTCCCATTGGGGCCAGCAGACCCACAAAATCAGTAGCCCAGGACTGATTCATCTGTTCGCATTTATCTCGGTCTAATTTAATGTTTTGGAACCCCCCTGGGCAAAATTCCCTCTGATTTCCGCCCCCCCCCCTTGAGTGTTCTTTCTGCTGGAAGGAGGCTGACAGGCAAAGTTTGCCCAGTTCTGACAAACGGGCCCAATGCAGCTGCTGCCCAGTGAAACAGGGCAGCTAGTGGTGGCTGTGACACACAGCTAGTTCAGAGTCGGCAGGGAGCTCCCACTTGGGACTCACCAGACAATACTGACCCCCAACATCAGCCTTGCCTGTATCTGGGAGGTCAAATGTCAGATTTAGACTAGAAGACTGAGGTCTGAAACTCCCTCCCAGGAAGCTCACTGGGGAACCCTGGACCAGTCTCTACTTCACAGGATGCTGAGAGGACAATGGAGGTATTCTAAATGCTCTACCTCAGACTTCTTGAGGAAAGGGGCAGAATACAAATACGAGTGGAAGGGACCAGAGAAGAGTCTGGCCCCTTTTCTTTCCAGACTAATCAGGTTCGAGCAGGCTGAATGAACAATCCGGGTGAAGAAGAAAATCAGAGGGAGTTTAACTGTCAATACCACACAAACAAAGGCTGCGGTCACACGGAGCATTAGGCACGCTAGAGAGACGGAAGATAGGCGGATTTTCTGGGCGCGATATCACCGCCACATCTGGGAAGCGTAGAGCTCCCGTGGCTCACCCGAGGCTTCACTCCGAAGATGCGCTGTAAAAAACTAGTACCTCCGAGGTACTAGTTTCCGGAAACCGCGGAGCATGGGCGGGCGTCTGATCGCGTTTCCGGTGGTAGTTCCAGCACCCGCCCATGTCCCCTCGCAAAAAGGGTTTTTCCCCCCAAGTCTCCACGGATGCGCACAAGCACCCAACGGAGCTTGCGCACACTTTAGTTTAACAAAAAACACAACCCCGTTTGCCCCGCGGCCCCGCTTCTTTGCAGCGCCGCAGGAGTGTCCTGTGATCGGCACCTCCCCCTAACCACGGGACTTCCACAGGACGTCTGCTGGCGCAACCGCGTGTTATTTTGCCCCGGAGCAAACAGCCACGCTTCCCCCCCGCATTTTCCGGTCCGTATAACCGGGGCCAAGAATTGGGTTTTGGATGGAGAACGTAGAGGAGGTATCCTGGACTAGGCAGGAAGTCCTCTAGGGGCTGAAATGATTTTAGATAGGCAGGGTTCGTGTTCCTCACTAAAAATAGTGAACTATTAAAACTGCCTAGTTATTGTCTTAAAGCTTGAGTCCAGTGGCACCTTTAAGAACAACAAAGTTTGATTCTAAGCTTTCATGTGTTTGCTATACCCAGAATTAAACTGAGAGAGCCAGTTTGGTGTAGTGGTTAAGTGCACGGACTCTAATCTGGGAGAACTGGGTTTGATTCCCCACTCCTCCACTTGCACCTGCTGGATGACCTTGGGCAAGCCATAATTCTGGCACAGCTGTTCTTGAAAAAGAGCAGTTTCTGTCAGAGTTCTCTCAGCCCCACCACAAGACACAAGGAAGTGGGGTGAGAGAATGACTAAGAGTGTTTTTAATATGAAGAGAAAATGTTTTCTGTGGTGGAACAGGGGGTAGGAACAAGAAGTGAGAGCTCCAGAGGAGACTCTTGCCCCAGGGATTCTTCCCATTGGGGCCAGCAGACCCACAAAATCAGTAGCCCAGAACTGATTAGACTGATTCATCTGTTCGCATTTATCTCTGTCTAATTTCATGTTTTGGACCCCCCTGGGCAAAATTCCCTCTGATTCCCGCCCCCCCTCCCCTTGAGTGTTCTTTCTGCTGGAAGGAGGCCGGCAGGCAAAGTGTGCCCAGTTCTGACAAATGGGCCCAATCCAGCTGCTGCCCAGTGAAACAGGGCAGCTAGTGGTGGCTGTGACACACAGGTAGTTCAGAGTCCCATTTGGGACTCACCAGACGATACTGACCCCCAACATCAGCCTTGCCTGTATCTGGGAGGTCAAATGTCAGATTTAGACTAGAAGACTGAGGTCTGAAACTCCCTCCCAGGAAGCTCACTGGGGAACCCTGGACCAGTCTCTACTTCACAGGATGCTGAGAGAACAATGGAGGTATTCTAAATGCTCTACCTCAGACTTCTTGAGGAAAGGGGTAGAATACAAATATGAGTGTAAGGGACCAGAGAAGAGTCTGCCCCCTTTCCTTTCCAGACTAATCAGGTTCAAGCAGGCTGAATGAACAATCCAGGTGAAGAAGAACATCAGAGCAGACAAACAAGGATTGGGTTTTGGCTGAAGAACGTAGAGGAGGCATCCTGGACTAGCAGGAAGTCCTCTAGGGGCTGAAATGATTTTAGATAGGCAGGGTTCGTGTTCCTCACTAAAAATAGTGAACTATTAAAACTGTCTAGTTATGGCACCTTTAAGAACAACAAAGTTTGATTCTGAGTATAAGCTTTCATGTGCTTGCTATACCCAGAATTAAACTGAGAGAGCCAGTTTGGTGTAGTGGTTAAGTGCACGGATTCTAATCTGGGAGAACCGGGTTTGATTCCCCACTCCTCCACTTGCACCTGCTGTATGACCTTGGGCAAGCCATAGTTCTGGCACAACTATTCTTGAAAAAGAGCAGTTTCTGTCAGAGCTCTCTCAGTCCCACCTACCTCACAGGGTGTCTGTTGTGGGGAGGGGAAGGGAAGGGAGTTTGTAAGGCGCTCTGAGACACCTTTGGGTAGTAAAGGGCAGGGTATAAATCCAATCTCTTCTTCTTCTTCTAAACTTTGTTGGTCTTAAAGGTGCAACCAGACTCAAACTTTGTTCTATTGCTTCAGGCTACCCACCTGAATCTGTCTTTTAAGTCTGACAAACAAACAACATTGGAACCATTAATGATTCCACACCTCCCAGGTCTATTTCCATTATCAGACTAGAGTGGGGAGGCATTATAGTTTTGTTATATATGCACCTCCCATGTTATCCTCAACCTATATAACCCACTACACGCTCAGTAGGGCCCAGGGGAAAGAGGTCTTGATTTGTTGCTGACGTGCTTTTCTGGTAAAGAATGAAGGAATCGAGTGCGTCTATAAAGAGGACACAAGAAGAAAAGAATCCCACTTTACTGCATACATCTAAAGTTAACAGTGCACCTGACATAGTAACATAACAGAAGAGTGTGGGTGGTGTGGTGGGTCACAACTCCAGCTTGAAGGACTTGTTATTGGCAAAGTGGTATAAAATAAGACAACAAGAGAAAGGTCACTATCGGAGTTCTCACAGGGAGAAGAAAGAAATAATGGTGGGTGAGAGCTTTGGACTTTCCAGGTCTCCGAGTGTCCGTTTGAGGTGTTTTTAAGAACCTGTTTTACCATATGGTCACTGCAAGCAGGGGATATTGAATGCAGAGTCAGCATCCCTATCACATCAACACACACACTGCTGAAAGAGGACTGCTCAAGCCACTGCTTTCTCTCCACAACCCTTTTTTCTGGGGTAGCTTACTTAGAGGAAATCCTGCCTTGATTCCAGGGGTTGGATTCAACTCCTGCTGGATCCCTTCCATATTTGCTACAGCAGTGACAGACATCTGGACTTGTGAGAAGGAATGAATGACTCTTCCATTTGCCCTCTCATCCACAGCCCAACGAAAGAGCACCACTTCTGTTGCAGACATTACGTGGGTGGCCGTCTTCTGTCTAAAACTGCAGTACTAAATTTAATCAGACAATACCTGCACAGGAAAGCAACTGGGCAATACCTCTAAAGGCTTCGATTGAACAAGCACTTTGGATGATGAATGGGTTCGAGACAAGCAGGCTTCTGCACATGCACAGAGTGCTTCCCCCATATTAAAAACTACAGACAGCACAAGGAAAGTCCCCTATCTCATATCTTGTTTGTTAAAATATCCCACAAAAACCGCTGAAGTCCCCGTACTGGCAATATCATCCAGCACAGGATGCAACCCTTCAGAAAAGTCATCTGGAAGGAAACCCAACTGGGGAGGAAAACCCCCCAATGGGGCCTACTCCCGAGTAAACGAGCTTAGCATCGCAGCGCTGCACAACTCTACGCCGCCCACCCGCCCACTTTGCAGATCCGCCCGCTGTATTTCATGCGCAGTGGGGGCCGGGGAAGAGAAGATGAAAACGATCCCTACGGCAGACGCCTTTTGCAACGCAGCGCCAGCAGCTTCAGAGCTTGGACGAAACGATTCTTAGCATCCCCCCCAATCATGGTTTCGACGCAACAATTTCCACTGGGATTTGCCCGGTAATTTTGGACGCCCCGAGTGATCTCCTCCTGCGTTCCACCCACCCCATTCATGCTGAGTTATCGCTAGGGAGAGAACCTGCATTCAGTCCGGCTCAAAGACCAGAAAGACTTACCTTGCACAGGGCACTGCAACCGGCGACAGCAGCAACAACAGAGTCGGCAGGAAGCGATTTCATCTCTCTACGCCAATGGTGGGGCTAGAGCGTCCCTTCCTCGCCTCCTCTTCCCGGTTTCCTTTCTTGGCTCTTTTGGATCGGAAGCGCACGTTGGTTGGTGGCTTTTTCCCATCTCCCTGGGAGCTGCCATAGAGAGAGTTGCGATTGCAAGATTTAGGGGGCCGTTAGAATTGCAGGTTGGTTCGTGGTGGTGGTGGTGGGGAGAGATCCATAAATAAGAGTAGGCTAATTCCTTTATTAGGAACAATTAAAAGCAATGAGCAAGCCCTTGGGTTCACCAGCAGTCTTAAGGCTGGGTGGTAACTGATGGTCATAGTAAGCAAAAAGGATGGGGAAAGATATTACTGTACACATGATGGGGGGAAAAACACGTGTTATTAAGTGAACAGTCTGCCTTACAAAGGATCCACATTTTTCCAGTTAGTGGTAGATGGTAAGCAGAAAAGGGGGGAGGATGGGGAACGATATTGCTGCATGTGATGAAAATAACACTTATTGTAAACAGTCTGCTTTGCATTTTTCTATATTAGGGATGCCAGCCCATCTGGGAATCCCCTGGAATTGCAGCTCATCTCCAGATGACAGAGATCAGTCCCTCTGGAGAAAATGCATGCTTTGAAGGGAGCAATCTGTCATACCCCACTGAGATCCTGTCCTCCCCAGGTTCCACCCCCAAATCTCCAGGAGTTTCTCAACCTCGATCTGGCAACCCTACTCCTCCCATATCCTGCCAGTGGCCAGGGAGGACCTGGCAACTCTATATAATGTATGTGTATGTTAAGTGCTGTCAAGTCACTTCCGACTTATGGCGACCCTCTGAGTTAATGTCCTGCAAAATGATCTGTCACTAATAAGCCACTCTCAGGTCTTGCAGACTGAGGGCCGTGGCTTTCCTTGATGGAGTCAATCCATCTGATGTTGGATCTTCATCTTTTCTTCCTGCCTTAAGCTTTTCCTAGCCTTACTGTATTTTTAGGCTCCCACAGGGGTCATTTCCTGCGGGAGCACACAGGAGCGGAGCAAGAAGCACCCAGCAGCTGCAGACACCCCCCCCCCCCAGTAGCTAGCAATCCAAAACAGTCCAGTGGAGCCTGAGCAGTGGGTGTTGCCTTCTGACACACTTTGGTGATGTCAGGGGGTGTGGCATATGCAAATAAGTGATGCTAATGAGTTATGCTAAGGCGCTCCTGCACCTCTTTTTCTGCAAAAGGACCCCCGGGCTCCCATAACCTGAGATTTTAAAAATATACTGTCAAGAAGACAGAAGCTGTCTCAAAGGGATTTTCCAGTCTGTTCCAAGTAACTTTACTGTTTTCTGATTCTCTGAAGAGTATGGGAGCCTGACCCAATCAGGACTACAGTGTATGGGGAGGGACAGTTAAGCTCCTTCCCTGCTGTTTTTCCTATTCTGAAATGCCCCCCTCCAAACTGCTTATGTAGAAGCCACTTATGTAGAAGGAAGCCTCCTTAAGCTGGAAGAAGGTTTAGAATATTGCTGAGTGGAGTGGCAGGATACACACCAGCAGCTTCCCAGGGCTGTTTCTATTGGAGACCGACTGGTAATGAAGGTACATAGAAAGTTTATATAGATATAATGGCGAATATATACACAGCTATCATACAGCATACCATGCCTTAGCTTAAGAGACTAAGTCCACACCTAGCTTATCAAGCTGATAGCTAATATACTAAACCTAGCCAATCACTAACAAGGGGAATTAATTACCAACTCTAACAATGCCTGATAGAGAACACCTGCTAGTATAACACCTGGCTATAATCAATCACTAGCATGACAGCTAGGACTGTCAAACAGATCAAACTGATCTAGTAACTGCTTGCTACCTCTATTAGCTAGACATATATCTCAATAGTTTCGGGCATGGAGTAGGAGGGAAGCTTATTGTAAAGACTGAAGAATCTGAAAATACTTGAACATGCTAAAACACCGCAAAAAAGATGTGGCGGAAGATAAGTAAACGGATCCTCTGCATTCAGTGGCAGCATACCTCTGAACATCATGGGATGGGTAATGATGCTTCTGCACCAGCTGTTGACTGAGAATCTGGACAAGCCTGCAGCTCATCTTCCTGCTTGCTGGCTTCTGCTGACTCAGAGCTGGCTACACGGGGCTCCTCTTCTCCCGATGAGTCCTCGCTGTCTCTGAGCCCTGGCTGACTCATGACTCAAATCTAGCTCATCTACTGCAGACAAAGATGGTTACCCACCTGAAACTTTGAACAACATAGTATTTAATCAAAAATTGAAGAGGAGAATGGCAGCTGTCTTAACAAAAAAGCAGCTTCAGATCATAAGACCTAACTTTGTCTGATGGTGTCAAGATTGCAGTTACTTTTGGGCTCCAAATTGTCTGGAGGAGAACCGAGATACAACTTGTTCAAGAACAGTACGGTACCTAAGTTGTTCTGGACAGAGCAGCTCCAGGATGTCTTTGCCTATGGACAGTTTGTTTTGGCTGCCCAAAGCCCCTCTCCATTTCCTTGTGGACTGTTATGCAAAGTTCAGCACTGGCTGCTCACATCAAACAGCCAACATGAGCTACAATTGCATGGTCCTCCTTGTTGGACGTCTTGCACCTTGGACCAAAACTGCTACTTAACTCCAGAGAGAGTCCTGCTCTGATACTCATTGCTTCGTGCTTGCAACCCTTGCTCCTTGCCCCAGTCACTGCAACGTGCAATTTAAGACCATTTTCTCTGTTTCATACTATTTGGGGAGGGTGCCCTGAGTGCCAAAGAAGGGCTTTTATCTTTGTGGTTGTCTTCATAATTGTTGAGAGGTGGAATAACCCAGGAGACTGAGGTTTCTTTCTTTAGAAGCCAACTCCTTACATGAGAATCCTTCCAAACTTAGCCACAGGGTTTGAGATCATAGAGGCTATCAAGGGAGTGGGGAGCATACAGTTGTGTTTACTTCATAGCAGACATTCTCTGGAGGCATCATTCATCTCTGACCATACCTTTCAGCCCTCTTAATTTTGGAGATTTCCTGTATTGGCTATCTTGTCTTGCGGTTTCCAGAATCATCCCTATGAGATATTCCATGGGGAGAGGAGAATTTACAGTCTACTGTCCCATCTGGTCCTCTTGCCTCACCTGCTGTAGAAGAAAGGTGGATTATGGAGTCAGTGGAGGAACTGGGTAGAAAACGTATTCCCTCCAGGGAATAACTGAACCATCTTCCAGGTCTTTATCTTCTCTCATAGTCCTACTTCAGAAAAAGGATGGTAATACTAAAGTTTATGTGGACTGCAGATAATTAAATGAAATCCCCATAAAGGATTTGCACCTTCTGTGGTGAATTGCCCATGTCTACTCACCCAAAACAAAAACAAAAAAGCAAGCTCACAGCAATGTAAATATCCTTAATTGGGAAAGAAAATTAGGGAGATGTGAAAAGTCGGCTGTATCCTTCATGGAGAAAAGGCATGTTTGCTGAATCCCCAAGATTTTTTACAGAGATTGTCCCCACAGAAGAAGAAGAGATTGGATTTATACCCCACCCTTCACTTGGAGTCTCAGAGCGGCTTACAAACTCCTTTCCCTCCCCCTCCCCACAACAGACACCCTGTGAGGTGGGTGGGGCTGAGAGAGCTCTGACACAAACTGCTCTTTTTCAAGGACAGCTGTGCCAGAGCTTGTGACTGACCCAAGGTCACATCAGCAGGTGCAAGTGGAGGAGCGGAGAATCAAACCCGGTTCTCCCAGATTAGAGTCCGCACACTTAACCACCACACCCAACTGGCTCTCACAGTGGCCATTTCCTCTCCTCATCACAGGGGGCTGTAATTTTCTTTTAAAAATTGGCACTAGAATATCAATATATCAGTATACATCAATATCTTTATATCTATGTGTATAGATATATCTCTGTCTAGTCTTATAATGCCCTGGCCTGGATAAGTCAGGCTAGCGTGATCTTGTCAGATCTCAGAAGCTGAGCAGGATCGGCCCTGGTTAGTATTTGGATTCCCAGCTTCCTTTTTCTTTTTGTAAGTCTCCAGCCCCTTTTGTTGAAGAAATATAAGGGGGAAGCCATAATTCCACAATGGAAAGAGTTAGAGAATTACTATTTTTAAAAAAATAAAGGCTGTGAATTCGGAGTACCTGATACACATGGGCTTGTCCCCTCCTGCCCCCACCCCCTTGGTGGCCCTGTTGGAATCTGCTAATTGGGACTTATCCTGCAGGCTTCTGTAGGGTTCTATACATCCGTTCTGTTTTAATATTTATGTAAGTCATTTATAGGAGCTGCGGTGGCTCAAGTGGTTAAGGCGCTGAACTGCAGGCTGTGAAAGGTCAGTAGTTCAGCAGTTCGAGACCCGAGTGTGCCGCATGACGGAGTGAGCTCCCGTCTCTAGTTCCAGCTCCTGCCAACCTAGCAGTTCGAAAGCAAGAAATTGCAAGTAGATAAATAGGTACCACTCCGGTGGGAAGGTAACAGCGTTCCGTGCGCCTCGGTGTTTAGTCATGCCGGCCACATGACCATGGAGACGTCTTCGGACAGCGCTGGCTGGCTCTTCGGCTTTGAAACGGAGATGAGCACCGCAACCCTAGAGTCAGATTCGACTGGCTTTCGAGCAAGGGAACCTTTACCTTTACCTAAGTCATTTATGCTGGAGTTGGATGTCCTCACTATAGTGGTGATACCTAGGTTTACAACTGTTAAAATAAACCTTTAGAAGCTGGTGTCTCCGACTTGGGTTGCATGCCGGAATATTGTGTTCAAGTGGCTGAGAGCAAACAAGCCGAGACCGAAACGAGATAAAACAGAGGTGCTACTGGTAGGGAAGTCTGATATTCTGGATGGAATAAAAGTCCTGCTACAGCATTCAAACTCTGGGGATCCGAGATGTTACCGAAAGGTGACGAAGTGGAATTTAATAATAAAGAACGGAAGGGAAGAAGGGCAACTGTGTAACAACACAGCGGCTTTATATGATAAGGCTGAAACTTTGTGATGATGTCGAGATTTCGCTCATTTACTTTTGG